GGATCCTTAGAAATCCCGCGGAGTCCGGTCATAAGTAGCACGCAGGATTTGCACATTTGGCGCAAGGAATTCAGTCCCTGGTATTGATACCCCAACCAAACTGACCAAACAGAAATTACTTCCCAACTAACCAGCCGCAAACAATCCGTTACCCTACTACCACTATTACGACGACGACTACTATTACTATTACTACTGATACTACCTACGACTACGACTACTACTACTGCTACTACTACTACTACTACTACTACTACTACTACTACTTACTACTGATACTACCTACGACTACGACTACTACTACTGCTACTACTACTACTACTACTACTACTACTACTACTACTACTACTACTACTACTACTACTACTACTACTACTACTACTACTACTACTACTACTACTACTACTACTACTACTGCTACTACTACTACTACTACTACTACTACTACGACTACTACTACTACTACTACTACTACTACTACTACTACTACTACTACTACTACTACTACTACTACTACTACTACTACTACTGACTACTACTACTACTACTACGACTACTACTACTACTACTACTACTACTACTACTACTACTACTACTACTACTACTACTACTACTACTACTACTACTACTACTACTACTACTACTACTACTACTACTACTACTACCTACTACTACTACTACTACTACTACTACTACTACTACTACTAGTGCTAGTGCTGCTGCTACTACTACTACTACGACTGCTGCCACGACTTCTACTGCTACTACTACACCTACTACGACGACTACTACTACAACTACTAATACGGTTACCACTACTACTACTACTACTACTACTACTACTACTACCACTACTACTACTACTACTACTCTTGCTACTACTTCTTCTGCTTCTCTTACTAATGTTTCTACCACTCCGACTATTACGACTCTTATTATTACTATCAGCACTCTTATTTCCATGGCTACCATTACTACTACTACTACTACGACTACTACTACTACTACTACTACTACGACTACTGCTGCTTCTACAACGACTACCACGACGACTACTACTACCACTACTACTATTTTCTCTACGAGTACGACTCAATTACTACTACTGCTACTACTACGGCTACAGGTGCTACAAGTACTACTGCGACTACTACTAGTGCTCCTGATGCTGCTACTACTAATATTACGTTTTATAATATTATCATCATTACTACTTCTACTACTACTACTACTACTACTACTACTACTACTACTACTACTACTACGACTACTACTACTATTACAATTACTACTACTACTACTACTACTACTACTACTACTACTATTACTACTACTACTACTACTACTACTATTACCACTACTACTGCGGCTACTACGACTACTACGACTACGACTATGACGGCTACTACTACTACTACTACTACTACTACTACGACTACTACTACTACATCTACTACGTACTATTACGACGACGTTGACTACGATTACTACTACTACTACTACTACTACTACTACTACTACCACTACTACTACTACTACTATTACGACTACTACTACTGCTACTACTACTACTACTACTACTACTACTACTACTACGACTACTACTACTACAACTACTACTACTACGATTACTGCTATAGTTACTACTACCATCACCACTACCACTACCACTACTACTACTACTACTACTACTACTACTACTACTACTACTACTACTACTACTACTACGACTACTACTGCTACTACTACCGCTACTACTACTGCTACCACCTTACTACTACCACTACTACGGCTACTACTACTACTACTACTACTACTGCTACGACTACTGCTACTATTACAACTACAGCTAGTAGTGCTACTACTGCTACTACTACTACTACTGCTACTACTACTACTACTACTACTACTACTACTACCACTACTACGAGTACCACCACTACTCCTATCACGACGACGTCGCTTATTAGTGTTACTATTAGTACTCGTAGTAGTACTGGTTCTGTCAGTGGCACTAGCGCCAGCACAAGTATAAATATTCGTAATACTGCTACTGCGGCTGCCTATTACGGACACTATGATTTCTACGATTACGATTGCTACTGCTACTATTTCTTCGCTCGGCGCACCTCCAGTGACGCGATCAGTGCGCCGGCCCCTCCCCCGATCACGCCCGTTATCGCCCGAAGAAAGAACAGGCTCTCGGCGCTGCGGCTCGATGCGGGAACCGATTTCCTCCATGCCGACGTCGCCGATGCATCGCTGACGCCGCAGATGCATCGGCGATGCATCGGCGATGCGGCGCGACTCTTCGACTCCATCTACTTGGACCCCACTTCGGAGGCCTCAACGCACGGATAGACACCGACACCAGCTATTTTGAACAGGATTCGTTGTCGTTGCAGCCGCGGGCGTTGTTCGGTCGAGGTAAGAAGAATCGCCTGGCCAAGAGCGGCCGCTGTCGGTCTTCGAAAACGACTGCCGTTGTATATCGTGCCCCCTTTCGTCCATTAATTTTTCGGGCGTGCCACGAAGGCGGCGAGGGGCCGCGAGCTCCTCCTTGAGCCTTTGGCCGCCTCCCCCCCCTCCGTAATTATCCGACTCGGCCCAAGCTTGGTCAGAGCAGTGCCTGTTGCAGCGCTGGCTGTGCAGCCTACGAGCTGCAGCGATGACGGGCGAGGCAGAGATTTGGTACACGCGGATCGAGGGCCAGAATGATGGAGGCAAGAAGTTGGCAGAAAACGTTGGCAAGAAGCATGACTTTTCACAGGCCTCCCTTGCTGCCATCACTACCAATCTGATCACCGCCGGCCTCGGCACGGGGATATTGAGCTTGCCTTGGGCCACTGCTGGTGCATCTCTCTTGCCGTCCATGTTGATGACTGCCGCGGTAATGGCCCTCAACGGCGCCACGGTCATGATAATCATCCGCGCTGGCGAGAGGTGGAAGGCATTTGATTTGGGCGCCTTGCTTGGTAACTTACCTGGTCGGTGCAGCCCAGCAGCACAAGCGTTTTGCAACACGCTGACATGGGTATCTGTGTTCCTTTGCCTTGTGGGGTACGTAGTTGTAATTACAGACGCCCTGGAATCACTCCTGACTGCCAATTTTGCAGGATCAGCCACACGGGCAATTCTCTTGACTGTCAGTGCAATGTGTGTTCTGCCTGTTTGCTTTCTCGACCAAAGGCACCTGACATATTCGTCCAGCCTTAGTATTGCTATCAACGTGTACATCTTCATTGTTGTTGCAGCTTTGATCGCACAAGAAGGCACTGCACCTGGAATATGTATGGCTGGTGCAGGTACTGGCCTTGTCACACTCTTCAGCACTCTAATGCAGTGCGGCATTCTCCAGATGTGTGTGCTGCCCATGTACGAGGAACTGAAGGGCAGAAATATCCGCCGCTTCCAGCGAGCTGTCATCATTGCGTTCAGCTTTTTGACGTTGCTCTTCTGCGCTTTTTCAGGCCTGGCATACCTTAAGTATGGACCTGGAGTTAGTTCCAACGTCCTCAATGATTTTCCTAACGACACCATGGGTAACATGGCAAGGATCGGGATGGCTATCGTGGTGCTTGCAGTCTACCCGATCATCCTGAAGTCGATGACTGCACCTATCCACCACTGGGAGGAACGTCACTACAGCGGTCCACTCTGGCGTGCTCAGTCGTCGACCGTGATTATCGTCGCGCTCAGTGCTGTTTGCGCAAGCTTCGCAGGCCGACTGGGCACCGTCCAGGCGCTGAACGGTGCACTGCAGGTCAGCGCCTTCATTGCAGTGGCCCCCGGGCTCACAGGCCTCTTCCTGCTCGGGCGGAGGGGCCCACTCTGGCGAGGGACGATGCTCGGTCTGGTGGTTTTGGGAGCCGTGGCCTCTGCACTCGGTCTCGTGTATACGTCCAACGATGTGGATTCCGTGGCTGAGCGCTGCGTGTGGCAGGCATGAGGCCGCCTTCGCGGCCGGTTTCTGCGTTGCGTATCAGTTGCAGCCAGTTCCGTTTGTATGACGTGGCTGCCGGTTCCGTTTGTATGAATGCAGTTCCGGTTGTTCCGTTTTTGAAGTTGAAGTTTGCAGCCAGTTCCGTTTGTATGAAGTGGTTGCTTTTGTTGTTTGGGCATGCGGCTGCTTACCGCCTGCGTATAAATCGTTGCTGTGCATACATGATGTATGTTTGCGCGCGCGCGGTTACGCATGGTCGTTCGCGGGTGTGTACATCCATTAGTAATAAATATGCGGGGGCGTGCGTGGGCGAGTGTCAATGTTGGTGATTTCGCACGCACATGCTTTCACACGCCTAGCTAATGCCTTGTCATTTCTGCATTTGCAGGTTACTGTAACGCTGTCCTGCCATCATGCGCTAAGTCCCAAGCGCGCGAAGCCCAATCGCGCGAAGCGCGCACGTAGTAGCAAAATGGGCGTGGAGATATTAGTACAGATGCGGGCACGCTAGCGCCGACCCCTGCACCATGCTCCTGATCGCGCTTGTCTGCATCTTCACGTAATCACGCATATTTGTCAGCGTGGATCCCGAACAGTGAGATGTTGCATCATGAACATGTAAGATACGTAGTGTGATATATGAGGTGCGATCTATGTGGTGTGGGCTGTGAGGTGTAAACTATGTGGCGCAATCTTTGTGGTGCGATTTATGTGGTATGAGCTAGGTGGTGCAACGTGCAGTGTATGTGGTGCAAGCCATGTGGCGCAATCTGCGCGGTGCAATCTGTGCAGTGTAATTAATCACTTGCCGAACTTGAAGTTGTCAACTCCACTGCTCGCGCAATCATCCCACCCACCCACCCGCAACTTGGTTTGCAAAACCCATGCGGGACCGAGCACAGATATCGCTCCGGGGTCGTCTTGGAGCCCTCGGGGGCGTCTCAAGAGCGCTCCAAGAAGGCCGGAGAAGCAAGACGGCCGACGACGACGACGACGACGGCGACGACGACGACGACGACGACGGCGGCGACGACGACGACGCCGACGACGACGACGACGAAGACGACGACGCCGACGCCGACGACGACGAAGACGACGACGTCGCCAACGAAGACGACGACGAGGGAGGAGGGACGACGACGGCGACAACGACGACAACGACGACAACGACGACAACGACGACAACGAGGGAGAAGGGAGGACGGCGACGACGCGAACGGCGAAGGAGGAAGGACGGCGACGCCGACGACAACAACGACGAGGGAGGAGGGAAGACGACGACGAGACGACGACGACAACGACGACGACGACGGCGACGAAATATGAGGGACGACGACGAGACGCCGACGACGGACGACGACGACGACGACAAGGGAGGAGGAGGAAGGACGACCACGGCGACAACGACGACGGAATCGACCACGACGCCAAAGAGGACGACGACGACGAACACGAGGAAAGACACAGGACGACGTAGGCGACGACGACGACGCGGGAGGAGGGAGGACGGCGACGACGACGGCGACGACGACGACGACGCCGCAAGAGCGCGCGCGCACGCTTTTGTTGAAAATCCGTGTTCCGAAACCTTGTGTGTTTGTAGGTTTTTTGGACGCGCGATTTTGAAATCCTTCCAAAACCGATTGGTTTTGAAGGATTTCGGCGTACGCGCGCGACGACGCGCGCGTCTGCACTTCGTCCTTTTTTTTGCAGAGGATTCTCGCGACGGCGCACGCGCAATGGCGTTCGACAGATTTCGACATGCGCGCGCGCGCGACGCCCGTTTGGTAGCATGTTGTGAAAATCTTGAAAAAACCAATGGTTTTCTTAAAATTTCGCCAGAGCTCGCGCGTAAGCCTTTTTAGCAAATGAGTGTTACGAAACCCTGTGCTTTTGTATGTTTTTTGGAAACTCGATTGCGAAATCCTTCTGGCACCGAAGGTTTTTCAAGTAATTCGGCATGCGTGTGTGCACTTCGTCAATTGTTCGCAAGGGATTCGTGAAAAAGTGCCATGTTAGAAAAACAATGTCACCGCATAGTGTTTTTACAAGGGAACCTCAGGGGGGGAATCCGGTTGGCCTGGGACATTGTGATTTCATATTTAGGATGGACATGTTGTCAGAATCATATGTGATTCACATACCCGAAAGGGGAAGCGATAACTCTGGGGGGGTAGAGTCTATTCTTTTTTCTAGAAAGGAGAATATATGCGGTGTGAGCCATCTGGTGTAAGCTACCTGGTGCACTCCTATGTGGTTGAGCTATGATATGTGGGCTATGCGGCGTACGCTAGGTGATGCACTATATTTGGTATGAGCTACGTGGTTCGCGCTAGGTGATGCAATCTACGTGGTGTGAGCTATGCTTCGTTTGATCAAGCCGAGACCCGCGGAGGTTACAATCCAGTGGACGCCGCCTGCGAACGACCACGGCTCGCCGGTGACAGGCTACAAGATCGCCATCTTGCTGGAGAAGCACAAGACCGAGGGTCCAAGGTGTTTCTCCTTTTCTGCTCCCATCCATTCTCCAGGGTTCATTTCGATCCGATCGATCAGATTCGGCGTCTGTTTCTGCTGGCCTTCTTTGATTCAATTCCGGCGTTTCGATCTGGCGCGATGCTTGCATGGACGCTGTTGTGCATCCTCGCGCAGCCGATCCGACTCGATTTCGATTCGGTGCCGATGCATCCGGCGCCCACTCCGATTCGATGTGACTTCCTGATTCGATGCTGGCTGATCCTGCACTCTCCACCCGTCCCTGCATTCCTCCCTCCCCCTGTCCCCTCCATCTCCTTTGAACTTCGGCGCCTCTTGAGTGCTCTGGGCCCTGGGGGGCCTCGTTCGGGCCTCCTGAGGCTCTGGGCAATCTTCGCGGCATCTTGGCGTCCTCTTGGACCGACATGGAGACGTCCTTGGGCGAAATGGGTATGGGAATGTGCCAGGAACGGGCCGGCGTAAGGTGCCAGATGGCCATGCCCCCTCCAAAATCTGCAATTTCGAGACCAGCAGGATGGATCGAGGGGGTGAGGATAATGAATTACGCTACCGAGGAACCCCACATACTTATATTATGGCTGGAGTGATAATAGCTGAAGTGAAGCATGTGAGAATGATGCTGGTGGCCGACGCCCTGCCGCTACCCCCTGTGGTGTCGAGGAAGTGCCACGCTTGCCACGCTTTGCGAGGCCGCAACGGATAGGGAGACCAAATCCCAGCGCACCCCCTGTGGTGTCGAGGAAGTGCCACGCCTGCCACGCTTTGCGAGCCCGCAACGGATAGAGAGACCACCCCTCTGAGAATTGATTCAACGAGATCAAACGAGATGTGAATGTTTCTCCACTGGACTCGGGTCTCTCCAGAACTACTGGAGAGCAGCAGTCAGACGCTATGCTAAGCTGCTGGGCCTGGGGCGCGGTAAGCGCCACCCTGATCCAAAATGCCTACTGCCCGGCATGGGGGGAGTCTGAAAACCAGGGCAGGACGCCAAAATGTTACGACGGATTTGGCAAATTAGCTCAACAACCCGCCGGTGAATTCGTATCGTCGCTTGCCTGGCATTGCAGATAAATAGATACAGCCTCCGCCGCACCCAACCAACCTCCACTAACTTGCAGCACGCTGCACGCCTGCCACGCCTTGCGAAGAAGTGCCACGAAGAAGTCGAAGAAGTGCCACGCCTGCCACGCTTTGCGAGGCCGCAACGGATAGGGAGACCACCCCCAGCGCACCCCCTGTGGTGTCGAAGAAGTGCCGCGCCTGCCACGCTTTGCGAGGCCGCAACGGATAGGGAGACCACCCCCAGCGCACCCCCTGTGGTGTCGAGGAAGTGCCACGCCTGCCACGCTTTGCGAGGCCGCAGCGGATAGGGAGACCACCCGCAGCGCACCCCCTGTGGTGTCGAGGAAGTGCCACGCCTGCCACGCTTTGCGAGCCCGCAACGGATAGGGAGACCACCCCCTGCCGCCACCCCCTGTGCTGTGCTGCGGTCTGCTGTGCTGTGCTGTGCTGTGCGCGTGAGGAGGAGGAGGAGGAGGAGGAGGAGGAGGAGGAGGAGGAGGAGGAGGAGGAGGAGGAGGAGGAGGAGGGGAGGAGGGCGGGTGTGGGTGAGACGCGGGTGCGGCGCGGGTGGGAAGAAAACCAGAAACCCACGAAGCATGTGGGGAATACGAGTGGGGGGAATGATTAGCTTCACGCGCCAGGAGGCCCCGACGGGTTCGTCGGAATGACGAGCAGAGGGCTTGGTTCGGCCTCATCGCCTTGGGGACCAGAAACGGCAGAACCCCTTCTCCTCGTCCACTTCCTCCATCTCCGTTCCGAGGACTCCAGAATAGAGAACAATTTAAGCAGACGCATCCCCAAAGACGTTTCCTACCTGCCCTGATTCCCAGACCTCCAGCGGATTGGCTTCTCAACCCGCGGGCCCCAGGAGCTAGGGCCCGCTCCCCGGATGCAGTGTTCCGCCCCCGAGCGGTGCTTGCTGGCCCTGGGAGTTGCCAACGGAGAGCGCCAGGACTGGATTGTCCAGGCGGAGGGCCCGACCATACGTGCAGCTGTGAGTATCGCCGTTGTGGGTATCGCCGTCGGTGGATCTCCGCGTGTGGCCACGAAACGTGTAAAGGGGGTGCCGACTTGGGGCGGGGACGCACGCTGGCGCAGCCATTGGGGCCTTCGGTGGCGCTCCAGACGGGGCCACGAAACGTGTGAGGTGTGTGCCGAAATGGAGCGGGGCCGCCATGCGAACGTCGCCACTGGGGCCTTCGGTAGAGCTCCCTACGGGGCCACGAACCGCCGTGAGGGGTATGCCGAAGTGGCCAGGGGGGACACATGCGAACGTCGGGCCTTCGGTGGAGCTCCGCATGGGGCCACGAAACGCGTGAGGGGTGTGCCGAAATGGGCGGGGGGGCGCGGGACGCATGTGATCACAGCCACTGGGGCCTTCGGTAGAGCTCCCTATGGGGCCACGAAGCGCCGTACTGGGTGGCGCGGGGCGCATGTGATCACAGCCACTGGGGCTTTCGGAGGAGTCTCCTTATGGGGCCGCGAACCGCCGTACTGGGTGGCGCGGGAGGCATGTGATCACAGCCATTGGGGCCTTCTGTGGAGCTCCCTATGGGGCCACGAACCGACGTGCTGGGTGGCGCGGGAGGCATGTGATCACAGCAATTGGGGCCTTCGATGAAGTTCCCTAAAGGGCCACGAAACGCCGTACTGAGTGGCGCGGGGCGCATGTGGTCACAGCCACTGGGGCCTTCGGTGGAAATCCTTATGGGGCCACGGACCGCCGTACTGGGTGGCGCGGGGCGCATGTCACCACAGCCGCTGGGGACTTTGGTGGAGTTCCCTATGGGGCCACGAACAACGCCGTGCTGGATGCGCTGAAGTGGTGGACATGCAGAGGGCAGAGGGAAAGGTGTGAGTCGGAGGGGGGGGAGGAAGGAGGAGAGGATCGGATGGGAGAGGAGAGGAGAGGAGAGGAGAGGAGAGGAGAGGAGAGGAGAGGGAAGGCGAGGAGAGGTGAGGAGAGGTGAGCAGAGGAGAGGAGACGCGGGACCACAGGATGGTGGTGAAC